GGGGGGGGGGGGGGGGGGCATTTAAAAAAAAGTCGGAATTCTGAACCATTGATATGCAGTTACAGTCGGTTTTGTGATGAATAATTACCAAATAAAAGCGTTTCCCCTCCTTCTTGCCTCCGTTTCTTTCTTCACACAAATTTTTCCCATAGCTATTTGATGACCCAATCAAACCGTCCTGCTTGCACTTCTTGTCCAAATTCCCCCTTAACGGTAGATCACGTTCTTATAAGTTGCCCACTTTATAAAGATATCCGAAAACGTTTTTTTCCCTATCCCTTACCCTCTCTTAAAAATTTACTTCTGAATACTCATCCTGTGAAACTTTTTGAATTTATGCGCTCCACTAACCTCAAAATTTAACCTTTCCCCTCAACCCTTTTGTATTTTTACTGATATTTCCATGTAAATTTATTACTATTACTGCCCTCTTTAGAGGTGTAAATGGCCTTAGATGCTGAAGCACCGCTTTAAAGTAAAATTATTTTACTACTACTACTACTCTCTTCCTTTTTTCTCTTGCCTCCTTTTTTTGGGCGAACGCTGGGAGAGGGGGGCGGCTTAGCCCCCCTAAGCCCCCTCCCCATGGATCCGACTACATAAAGAACCCACTATGGAAGAGATAACCTGGAGCGCCCGCCGGCTGATCGGCGAATTCTGAAGTCAAACAATCAAGCAAGATCGGAGGTTCGTCTTCAGAAGACTTGCCATGCTCACGATGACGTTGGCTCTTTCAAAAAGCGGTTTCCTCTGAGCTAAGCGCAGATTTATTGGTTCGAAAATGAGCTATCCTAAGTTGAAGTGCATCCTCAGACCCTCCCACTGACACTTATCCGTGTACTCCTCTAAGCGTTGCGTTTTGTACACGATCATAGCGGGCCCAAAAATAGAGATATGAGCATTATAACCGGGCCGATTAACACCTTAACTTGACGCCCACCCCATCCCCCACTCCCCCCTGCTACTCTTTACAGAGTTGCCAGTTTTTGGACGGTATTATCATCCATACTAGGTTCTTAATTAGTATCAGCTGAAAAATAACCGTCATCTGAAAGTTTTTGCCGATGAAATTTCAGTTTTCATTCATTTGTTTTATTTCTATTTCATTAAAATTTTACATTCTTGTAAAACCAACACGGCAGTTAAATATTCGTGTGTCGTTTGTGGAATGATATGATCTATGTAAAAGTTAAAGAGTCAAAAAATTACAAAGAGGAGGATTTAGATTTTTAGAATTTTTCACCCTCCCCCACCTGTGATCTTCTGCCCACTTCTCCAGCGACAAGAAAGTGAGAGAGATTGCCACTTTGGCTTGACCATCCCCCGGGGAGTCGTCCAATGCAATCGGCCTTAATGTAGCCACAGTTTCAAGAGGGGCCAGGCGTGCCTGTACACTTGTAAATGTAAAAGCACTTCTGGACACTGGAAAAAAAAAAAACGCTTGGATCTAGAGTCCAGACTCTTGAAAACAATGACCAGAAAAAATACTCTTGATTCAATCAGATTTAAGCTTAAATCAAGAACCCAGCCTCTTAAATTTTGCGGATTTCGTTTTGATTCAAGCAAAAATCCGATTGAATCAAGAGTATTTTTTCTTGTCATTGTTTTCAAGAGTCTGGACTCTAGATCCAATGTGTTTTTTTTCCCCAGTGCATTGTACAAGCACTTCCATATAAATGAGATGAATCGGAGAATCTATGTTCCATAAATTATCCCAAAAAATGGTTTCTTCCTCTAAGACTCGGTCGAAATGATTTCCATTCACCACGGCAACATTGACCACACCCTCAAGCCACTCATAAGCAGTCACGACTTTGAAGACTAAGTTTGAGGAAGTTATTCACAGGATTTCGGTGATTAACCCCGGACTCGACGCGCTGGATGGATGCTGCGAGTCCGGCGGTATCTTTCTTTGCCCACGGGATTTTGAGGAAGCCGGGCCAACCACACTTGTTACCATTGTCAACAGTGTTTGGCTACCTCGTTATGGTAAATGCTGCGATGTGTGCCCAAGCGCTCTTAAGGCGGAGAGCTGTAAAGTTCAATAAATTCATGAAAAAGCGACCACTTTGTTGCCAAACCCACCTCATTGCAGGTAACGTTCTAGTGAAATAATTATCTCTCAACAATCCAAAAGCATAGCACGGCCCTCAGATTTCATATTTTGTTGCTTACGTTTCTTAAAATAGACCGTTATTTGGTGGTAGCTTGTGTGTAAACCGTGCAAAGAAAGAGCTTTCCGTGACTTATGACCGCACCGCACTGTTGGATTCGTCAAATCGATTTCTCGGTGTATGACCTCGATCTTTCGGTCCGAATAGAATTGAGGAGCCAAAAGTTTAGTCCGGCGATCCGGATAATATAAATATTCGTTTGATACGGAACTGATTTTATAAATGATGCGTTGAGCCGTGTCATTCTTTTTTCGATTTTTCCTCCTATGTCTATGGCTTACGAACTTAATTTCCGATTTTCAGGACTAAAACCGACATTGATCATTGACCAACACCCTTCCTTGAAATAAAAAATAATGGAAAAAAACCTCTGCTTGACCTCGAGCCAGCACCAAATACATGACAGGGCCAATGAGGAAACAGATGACTTTCATTCAGCTTACAATTCCGTCCATTAAAGAGAGCAATTCGCGACCGAACGAAACGAGGGGTTAGGTACTCATCTACATCGCGAAAACTAAATTTTATGGCTATGCAAATTCCTGAAAATTTATCAAGAGTTTGTTAAGGATTTCACGTAATGAGGACACGAGGAGAGTTGCAATTACAATTTAACTGACACCTTTGTACTGACAACCAACATTTTTCTTCCACATTCAAGTGTATTGACCTTTTTTATGCAATATGCGGCTCAAGTTGGGATTTGCTCACACCTTTATGATGACATCACCCAAATTGAGGTAGCTGCTTCTACTGTTTTTCTTCGTGACGTAGAATTTGCATGCTACTCTACTGCAATTCTACCTTATATCATTATTTGTCATTTCAGCAACATTGTTACAGATCCGTGGACTTGCTACAAAGGGTGACAAATGTTCCATTCGCAAACAGATATAATTCGTATTTCCAATCGAATCCAGCAAGTTCTCCTTGCTTGCACAGGAAACGACCGACGTTTTCGAAGAAATCTCATTACAAGAGGATAAATAACGCACGGAATTCGAGACCTTAATACATAATGAGACAGAGCCGACAGCTTTATGGTTACCGTCGGTTAGGACACTACTCCTCTCGGACCGAAATTTAAACATTATTCGGAGACTGCCTCAATTATAATCTACGATTCGTCCGAGACATTTTTGGCTCGGTGCCAAAAAAAGTGCTCCATTAGAGGAGCTTCACCTAATTTATTCTACGGCTATTCCCGTCAAAAATTCAGTTTTAAGCACTAAATGTGAAATTCTCATTGATTGCGTGGTCAAAATCCAACAGCAGAGAGAAGAAAGCACCCCGTAAAACACTTTCTGAAGATTCTTCATTGACTAATTTTGAGTTCATTTTTTTAATGGAGGCATTGAACTGATGAATGGTTTTTCTTCGCCTTTTCCTTTCTTTTTTATTTTGTTCAAAAAACCCCTCAGAGTCTCCTGTCATTAACGGCATGCACGCTGCACACATTCTTTATGAATTTTCAATTGTAAATTGACATTCGATTTTGATTTCGCAGAGCGAACTCGTGGGCAACCACCAAGCAACTTAGATGCACAAGACTTAAACTTACATCAATGCACTTAGATTTGCGAAAACGCTGCGAAGATAAGATTAAGTTAACATGCCTGCCTTTCTCAATGTTGACACTGCAGTTAATAAAGTTCAAAAATAGTTTTGAGTGGGCTTAAAGAGTGTCGATACCCACTAGAGTT